ATAAACGCGCAAACACCCAAAGCAGACCACAAGGCAGTTCAGTGGAGTTCACTGTTTATAGCTATACAGTTACGTTTTTGCAAACATTACATTACATTGCTGTAAACTATTTGTTTTTTTCTACTTCGGTTACTTTTGAACTTCTGACATAGATTTTCTTTCTTTTCTTTTCACCGAAATTTAGAGCAAACATAATTGTTGTGAAATTTGCGTAAATAAAGGTCATTTCTCCTTTAAGACTTTTAAAAATATTTTGAATTAATAATAAAACGATTATTGGATTTGGCTTGCTTTTACGTTGATACAAGGAATCACTTTGATGCTTTGCAGAAGTAACATTAATAAATGAAAAATAAGTTAACCCTTAGTTTGTCAACCGGGTTTTTGGTTCGATTTTCGTCGTTGTTGATTTCTTTTCAGTTATAGTTGCGGCAATGGTAAAGGGCTAGGGGACCGATAAGTCTAACCCAATTGAGTAACAAGAAAATGATTTGTACGCTGATTGGAAGGGAGAGACACAAACAAACATTCTCGTGATAAATGTTTAATTTGAAAAACAACGATGGAGAAAAACACGAAATAAGGAACACGCTCACCTTTAGGACCCCGATTTCAAATCCCGGCTAGCATTGTTTTTTTGTTTGTTCCCGACAGTTGTTGTTTTTCAGCTCTCTCCTTTACTGACGGCGTTTTTTTTTTTTTTAGTCTCTTCGCGGCTCCTTTTCCTTCCCGCTGGACTGCCAGCCTTTTACTGGAAATCGCGAGGTCCTGCAAGACAACCAACTATCTCTTGTCCGTACCTTTGCCCGTTTTTGTTTCCGATTTAATGTCCGATTTGTTTTTTGCCCGGTTTGATGTACGATTAGCTTATACGGCGAATCATGAGAATGGCCGGTACAGCTGTGTGCAAATGTGCAATGATATTACCAATCAACTACAACGTAAGAGAATTGTCAGAGAAAACCGGGCAAAATGTTCAAAATGTCAGCAAAAGGGGGTGAAACAGAATAAGTTCATACTAATATCATAGATAGGTCCGGTGAAGTGATGAAAAAATATAGCGAACACAGGTTCTTCACTTCTCCTGTATTAGACAAACGAGCATCGCTTTATTTGTCCCCCTCGGACGCCATTGTTATAAGAAAATTTTGACCATGTTCTGAATCTCGCAGAACTCTCATGCAAGAGAGTTTATTCTCTCCTGTTTTAACGTCATGTCTTATATTACTGACGATTTTCGGGACAGAGAGATGTGAATGGCCGCTGTAAATTGATTTTCTGGTCGCAAATGGAAAGAGATAGGTTTCAGAGAATAAGAAGAATATCCAGTTGTAGTTCGGAGTCGCCAGTGAACCTAAGGGTAATTATCAGCTATAACTCTAGCTTCGACACTCGTTTATATACTTAACTACATTATGACTGGTTAAATAAGTTATCAACCTTCCTGGTTCTTTTCGCCAGGAAGAAACAAAAGAGAAAAAATAACAACTTACAGTAAAGGTTACTGAGTATAAAATATTATGACGTATACTCCAAAAATAGTTTACATGCATAAACTGCTTGTTAGTGCATACGATTTTGCAAAGAAATATATTCTAAACACATAAACCGGCCTAATTAACTATTTGGGTAACCCCTTTTAGACGGAACACAAAAAATATGAATTGGACGCAGCCACAGTGTTCTTGTATAACAACCAGCGTCAATAAAACATTTACTTTCATGGGCTATTAGCAGCTTCTTAAAAGGGTGTTGGGGCGAGGGGTATGGCAGGGGCAGTGACGCAAACGTATAGGTAACAATTGTTCTCCAAGACTTTTACCGGTGCTCAAATATAATTTATAACTTATAACTTTTTGTTTTAAAATAAGTTAAGTGTAAGTTTCTAGATTTGGTTATGTTGAAGCTTATTCGTTGCAATCAGTAGTTAAATGGACGCTTCGCTTATAGCCTTAGCTAAATCTATATACTATACTATTTACCAATTTCCACAGAAAAGGTTCCCCTTTCGTATACGTTTTATTGACCTATGTTCCCACTGTCACATTCGAGTTTAGAATGCTCCATCCGGCCTCTAACTGCTGTAAATGCACCCGTCCTAAAAAAATGTAGTAAATCGCTAAACCAGGAAGTTTCATGTTGTTTTTTTTTTTCACAGTCATAAAGTGCGAAAGAAAACATTCAGAGGCCTATGCACCAAATGGGATTCGTTCACTCCACGCAAATACAAAATAAATCTCATCCGCACCCTCACCTATCAGATGCTATCACTGATACAGGATTTGCGCCCATTCGTTGTTGCTGCAATCTGCCTTCGAAGGCTCCTTCTTCAAAACGGTTACCCTCAGGGCATAATCACCTATCAGTACATTAACGATGTTACAAAGAGAACGATTAACAAGTCAAACAACCATGTCTCCACTGTTCCTAAAAAGACTATTATTATCCCGCTAACTTTCCTTAGGTTTACGTAGCAGACCACCAAACGGCTTAAATCTTGTGTATACAATTTCTACTCTTATGTCTTCTATCAACCTTAAAGTGTGTTTTCAAAACACTCGCCGCATCAAATCTTTCTTTCTTACAAGGACCGCTTGAATCGTTCTCAGCAGTCTAAAGTTATTTAAAAAGCCAGTTGTTGGCATTGTAAAGATTTATCACTGGCAAAACTAACATAAGGCTTCATGATGGCAAAACTGAGCTTTTCAAGGCCCTCGCTAAACATGACCACACATCAGCCATTGCTGACCATGTTAACACTACTGGACACAACATCAAGTGCGATCATTTTGATATCCTAGCGTCGTTAAAAAAAAGAAAAGATTATTACTATAACATCAAAGAAAAATTGCTTATACAGGAACTGAAGCCAGTTTTTAATGCAAGCGTCAGTAGCGAGAAGCGGATTCATGCTTTATTTATTAGCTGTTTCTTTTTATAGATAACTGTTAAGTTTTGTGCTTAATCTCGGTTCCAGTCCCCATTTTACTATTATATAAGTATAGTTGTCAAAATCGTAACGGAACTTTTGAAAACGTATGTTGAGTAACATACGAAATGTCAAGTTTATAAAAATAGTAAGTTGAATGTGCTTATCACCGGTGTTCGTGTTCATCTATTTCTCATCAAGTTGCAACTGTCAGCCCTTTTAGGCATCTTCACTGACCGCAATAACAAATTACCTTGCCCTCTCTTGCTCCTCTGCAGAGGCCTCTTCGTGTTGAGGAGAGAGCTTCTCTCTCGTATGCTTCCGTATGTTTTAACTAGTGAACTCTTAGCTGGCCTCTCCGTATGGGCCACGGGAGTACCCCTCTCAGCGGGGATTGTATACCTTTGATAATGGAATGATATTCGACGTGTGTATCCAGATTGGCTAGTTTTTTTATTCACGGCGAATTATACGTGGAAAAAGTGCATGATAATACTCATTATCAAACATTATATTTCAAGGAATCTCTGTTTTTGACACGGTCTCTTGTTGCGGTTTCCTTATCGCATACATGTTCCTGCAATTCTTGATTGCCCTGTAACTTACTTGAATAGACCTTGTCACGGTTTTCGACGCCATCTTGACGAGTAGGCAAACGCGTGCGAAATTACAGTGTTTGTATGAGAATCTAGTTTCGAATAATTTTCGTAAAATGGCTGTTCTGAAAAAAATATGACTTGTAACCTTAAGCTTCGTTCCTAAGGACGCTACTGAAAAAATTTGAGGGCGTTACATGCACCAGAAGACCTAGTACCACTTTTTAAATTTCCTATACATTTGTGTGTAAGAAAGTCCCCGGAAAATTACAGACAAATATATGGAAAATCAAAAGCAAGCCTCAGGAGAAATTTAGCACAGATACGCCCCCAAATTTTTTTAGGTCAATCCTTTGGTTTGTAGCTTTAGTTTACAATTAAAATTTTTTTCAGAACGGCCGTTTTACCTAAATTATTCGACAATAGATTTTCATACAAATACTGTAATTTCTCACACGTTTGCCTACTCGTCAAGATGGCGTCGAAAACCGAGACAAGGTCTATTGTTCTTTCCTTTAAACGAATAATAAACCCATTTGAAAATAAAGTATTCAATAGTAGTTATTTTGTTCTGAACCTCAACTATGATATTATTAGTCATTGAACGTGGAGAAGGGCAAAATCCCGTAACAGTCGGTGAACGCAAAAGGTGGTTTGAATTCCAACAAACCGCATAATTAGGTGGTCCATAATCATCCGCGTGAATATAAACTTCATTCTACAGCAAAAATCTCAAAGGATTGAAAGAGGACATCACGGGAGAAGTGAAGAAGTAAAAAGATCTGAAAATGAACAACCAGTGCAGGATACGCTATGCCACGCTTTAAACCCATAAATGCATTGTATGGTCGATTTGAAGTGAAATCTTCAACTCTACCAATGACAGCCGACTAACCATTAACTAACCATTTACATGCTCAACCGTAAAATCCTAGTGAAGGAAAGTTCACCGGAACTTCGATGGTATATATAAAGAAAATTGAGCAAGGTAAGTACAAAAGTACAGATATTCGCAAAAGTGATAGGATGAAGGTTTACTAGCTGACGGTTGTCTGTAAAGGTGTGTGTGTTGCTAAGGTGTTAGAGGATCATGATGATCCTAGCGTTGAGGTTTTTATCTAGCGCTATGAAGCCACCTGGCCTACAGAAAACAGTTGTTGTAGTATTCACTATAATTTTATCGAAACGTCTATCTAGAACTGAAAATGTTATTTCTGACGAATGAGCCAGCGAAGAAGACAGAAATAAATATTTTGACGGCACGAGATACAACAGGGCCTGGGTACTAGGCCGGGTGCACAATGGGTAGCCATATTGGGGGTATATAAGGCTGCGTATATCACGTGTACGTCATCTAGGCTTACGAACCACCCTCTCTTTGGTTTTTCTTAACGCTCTTATCGACTCTTTCTTGCGTCATATCCGTCAGCAAAGACGAAGTGTCCGATCTCATTTAGGAGAATAACAAACAGTTAATGGACTCGTTTAAAGATTTGTTAACAGAAACCGTTGGTCATATCAAGCGCGCTAACGAATATTTTGCCGAGCAGCAGATGAAAGAAATTAAGAAACTAAAGTATAGCGAACCACGTAAGTTCAAGAAGAAGGCCAACGAAGACCAGTTTCAAAGGATCCACAGTGCAGAATTTTGCGGCCATGTAGCGTACTAGGCCGCTAAGAAGAAGAAGAAGACCACTCTTTCAACTCTCAACAACAGATCCTCGCCAGTGGGAACGCCGGCGTCCACCTCAAGTTCACAGATGCAACCCCAGCCTCTTATGTCAAACGTTCCTGTTTTTCGCCTTCTCGTCGACCCAGTGTCGGGACCTGTTTTGCCTGTGGAAAGCGTTCCTGTTACCCGACGATGGACAAGCCAAACATCCCAAACGGCTTCATGAAGGACAACAATCAGGTGCAGTCTATTCTAATTTAGTACTGAACTTTTTAAGCGGCAAGGCATAATATGGATCAGGATTGTCTCGATGTTATACCAGTTTCTTCTGACGTTCACCCCGCTAGTTTTAGGCGCGGTTTAGAGCTCTGAGTGTACCGTTGATATTTCTATTCTACCTTCAGTTTGGGGAATATTTTTCATAGTGATCTTTTTCTGGCATACTTTGCTAGTTTCTCTGTTCATTTTGAATGTTATTAGTCTAAGTTACAAAATTCCCTTCTTCCAGCTTTTTATGTTTTTTTACTAATCCTACAATGCCTCTGCACGTGTTTACAGTTCTTTTTGTCCGTAGCTGTTAATGAGCTTCCCAGTCTCAACCTCCTTTCAGAAATTTTTTGCATTCCAATATCATTTACCCGCTTTCTGTTTGACCCGCCGCTCCGTCCAACAAAGGTTAATCCTGGATTTTAGGCACGTTTGCACCTTTTTCTACAAACAGAAATTCACGTGCGAAGACTTATCCATGGCCACTTAAATTTTTGAGATGGGTTTTTATTTATTTATATTTTATCCGCTAGTGCGGTTATCGTAATTTTCCCTGATCACTGGTATTTCCTTGCGTTCACCTGGGATCTCGGCACCTCGATTTTTAGGTATTCTCTACTTTGTGCGCTTCCCTTTGGGTTCTTGTCAGCCTCCCTCAAACCGCTTCAGAAGTCAAGAAGAAGCCAAGGTATCCCTACTGCCATTTTTCTTTACTATGGTCTAGCTATAGGAGGAGGAGCCTATCGCGTTCAGGCCAAAATTTACAGTTTGCGGGCTGTCCATGCCGATTTGCCTTAGTCTCGCTTTGTTCGAATTCCTAATAAGGATAAGTCCCTGTTGGAGCCCGTTCAAATTTTCTCGTGGCTTCGTGTTATAATACTCTCGATGGAAGTATTAGAGCCACGGATGAACGCATTGCTAAATTGTCTCACGACCTGGTGGCTTTGTCTTCATAATTAGTCCTCCCCCACAGTCCATGTTCTACGCGTCCCGTGTGTAGCTGGCCAAAGTATTTCCCTCTCGAGTTGCGTGGGATCCGTCGCGTGTATCATGACCCGATTTCTTTTCTCAGTTGTTTACTCAGGTGCTTCCTGGGATAGCTAGGTTTTCCTGTCCGTTGATTCTTTGTATGAAATTGAATTTTGGTCGAACAATGTTAGCCTCTCCACGGCAAAATTTATTGAGGGGTTCCAGTTCGCTTCCAGTGAGAGTAAGCTCCGGCTTCTCCGATGCTTCCTATTCAGCCTGCGGCGCTTAAGAGGAGTCGGAACCTGAGCTGATTTTTCATCAGAATTGGTCGGAAAGTGTTCGTAGATCGACTTGGAGAGAACTCAAAGTGGTTTGCCTTGCCTTACTAGCCTTCGGGAGCCCTTTACATAATCAGTCCAAGGGTTTTTGGTATTCTGACAACCATAACGTCTAAACCATTCTTCGCGACGGCAGCAGGAAACGTGATCTCCGGGATTTAGCCCTAGTTGTTTTTCAAATTTGCTCCCATCATTGCATTTCGTTCGAGGTCACGTGGATCCCTAGGGACCAGAACGCCAGTGCGGACTGTATCTGCAAACTCGTTGACTTCGATGGTTACGGCCTCAACGATTTCGTTTTTCAAGGGCTAAATCACCTCTTAGGTCCTTACACTATTTACAGGTTCGCCTGTAGCTACAACGGCGAGTTGCCTAGGCTTTACTCTCCATTTTTTCAGCCAGGCTGTTAGGCTGTTTATGCCTTCGCTCTAAATTGGAGTTACGAAGACAAGTGGCTTGGCCCACAGGTTTGCCTCATTGTCAGAGTCATCAGAAACATTGGGCTCTGCCGCGCTCACGGGAACCCTTGTTCCTCCCCTATGGAAGTCAGCTATTTTCTGGAATGTTTCTACTAGAGATGGAGTGCATTGGAATAGTTTTGTTCTCGACTAGGTTTTATTGCCTAAGTTCCAGGGGTTATTTGTTCTAGGGAAGACCCGTAATTCCCTTTTCAGATCCAGGTCTTTATTTTTTGGCGTCATAGCGCTTCGAGTTTATTTTCGGCGCCCCAGACCTCCCTCGTCCCTGGCGGGCTTCTGCTCTACGCCGCCTGACGGAAAGTGTTACCTGTGCCTCTACACGCGTGTTATGCGTACCTTTAGGTTTGGACCCATAAGGTTTTTGACCCCCGCCCCCCTTCCGCCCACTCTCCTCTCACTTCCCTTTTCCGGTGTTTTAAGCTCGCTTTTTTTTTTAATTCTTTTTTATTTCGTGCTCCTCACATTTTCTTCTTGTATTTTCGATTATTTTTCAGATATGTTCCGCTCTGGTTTCTAGCGCGGGCCCCAGAATTTCCCACCAGAGGGTTGAATACTCAGGCTGACAGACAGTCTACAATGCAATAGACGGTTCTCTCCTCAAAGGCCGTTAGTACGACAGTGGTGTACCTTCGTGCTTCTCGCAAGTAAAAATGTTTTGCTGCCAGTAAGCTTCATCCCTGGGCCTGTCCTGCCAGTCCCTGCTATGTTGCCTTGTATTTGCAACACCTCATTGAAGAGTCGCACTCCCCGTGCGTCGTAGACTCGGCTGTTTACGGTAGTAAATGGGCTCATACCATGGCGGGTATCCCCTCTCCCATGGATAAACCGATTATTGAAGGGGTTAGGTGTGCTTCCAAAACGATTTTAGGTTTGATGAGGTCTCCATAATTAGGGGGAATTATATTTTCATGAGGGTTTCATGATCATTAAGGTTCTCAAAAGCAAGAACGATCAACTTTGTAAGGGCGATGAATCGGAGTGATTTTTTCGGAAATGTTTGGCCCTGCTTGTACCTTGCCCATTTTTCCATCCCTCTAGCTCCAGGGATCTCATTTTTAGGCCCATATCTCGCGGGAACAGCTCCTTTAAGTTAGTTTCCCAGGACGAGCCTATCAGCTATACCACAATTAGAGAGGCTTTTCGCAAGGACCTGAGAAGTTTCGGGGTTGACCCTTCCACTTTTGGTTTTTTATTCCTTGCGTTCGAGAGGGGCCACTTCCGCTGCTTATAATGGGGTTAGTGACAGTGTGTTTCAGTGGCTCGGCCGCTGGAAGTCCGTTCTAGCCAAGGACGTCTACCGATGATGACCTAGAAAAAAGGCTTTCAGTTTCTTGGGCTCTAGGAGCTTTCATTTGTCATTTCGCCCAATACTTTGTCACTCTACGTACTTTGTAGGGTTGGTTCTCGCCAAGCCGTCCCAAAATAAACTTATTTGCCATTACGTTTTGTCTGTTGATGTTGTGTAGTGGAGTCAAAATATGTTATTTCTGACGAATGAGCCCGCGAAGAAGACAGAAATAAATATTTTGACGGCACGAGATACAACAGGGCCTGGGTACTAGGCCGGGTGCACCATGGGTAGCCATATCGGGGGTATATAAGGCTGCGTATATCACGTGTACGTCATCTAGGCTTACGAACCACCCTCTCTTTGGTTTTTCTTTATTTTTGTTTTATTTATTTTTAGGAGCAACATATTCTCGATGACATTGTAAAGTCCCGTAGGAAGGGCTTTGAGCTTGAGCCTTGGTTCCTACCCAGATTTCCTGCCCGCATTTTTTCCCTTCGGGGTTTTTTTGGGCAGGTTTTTTCTGGCCTCCGTCTGACCGCATTTACTTCAGTTTGTAAGCGGTAGCTCAGCTCTGCTAGTTTTCAGTTTTTTCCCGTTTCTTATTTTATGTACTTGTACAGTTATCTCAGTTTTGCACCTGCTCCTTTACTTGATATATTTAGTTTCTATGTATGTCTAGGTCAGCTGTCCCGGAACCGCTCTTTAGGAGGCGACATAAGTCTCGTTTGATGCAGTTAGGTTGCAGGCAATGTTACAGACTTCTAGCCAGGGTCGTTATCCATTTGTTTACTTTCAATGTCCTGCCCTAGCCTTTTATGGCAGCCTTACTGGTTATTGGGCTACGTGCCTTGTTGGGTACATTAGTGGAGATAATTCCCAGTTTTCCTGGCACTCAGCCTCTGTGCTCCTGAAGTGTTCCCGGTCCCAGTTATCCGTTGATCAGAGTTTTATTAAATTTCCCCAGCCTAACTGGCAGCCTAACTGGCACTAAGCCTGCGTGCTTCTTTGGGGGACTCAGGTCGAGATCGACCAGTTGTAGCAAATCTCTCTTTTGCTTAGCCTCTGTGCTCCTGCCGTGTTCCCTGTGCCAGTTATGCGTTGTCAGAGTTTTATTTATTAGTTTCCCCAGCCTAACTGGCACTAAGCCTGCGTGCTTATTTGGGGGATTTAGGTCGAGATCGACCAGTTATAGCAGTTTTTCTTTTTGCTTAGCCTCTGTGCTCCTACAGTGTTCCCTGTGCCAGCTATATGTTGTCAGAGTTTTATTAATTAGTTTCCCCAGAATAACTGGCAGCCTAACTGGCACTAAGCCTGCGTGCTTAACTGGGTGATTCAGGTCAAGAGCGACCATTTGTAGCACGAGTTTTTTCTCTTTGTGAAAGCTAGTTTACGAGTGTTGTACATTAGGTATTCCCCTGTAATCACCTATTATTGTATTTACATAAGTACTTTGTAGGGTTGGTTCTCGCCAAGCCGTCCCAAAATAAACTTATTTGCCATTACGTTTTGTCTGTTGATGTTGTGTAGTGGAGTCAAAATAACTATTTTCGTTGTAAATCAAAAAGTACACTTGACATAAAATTCCCTTACGTTTTTATAATGTTATACCGGTAAATATTTCGGTGACTTCATCAAGTGCGAATATACAGGGCGGCAAGCTGCTGGTCTTTCCCGGGCCTGGGTACGTTGTATTCCAATTTTTTTTTACAGGGTCTTTTTAGCATTTGTTATTACATCTGTTTAAACCATCGCTAAAATCCCGTGCTATATGAGTTTTGTGATTTCACGCGTCACGTAACGCATGCCCGTCAACCACTGGGAGGCCTGGGAGCTAGATTGCCAGCAGCATCGATCGACCGTGACAGCCGAGACAGCTGAGCTGATCACTGAAGTCCACACGGCAAACTGCGCTAAAAACCAGTTGCAAACTTTTAGATCAGGAAAGGCGAACATCGTTTTGTGTTAAATCAGGCAAAGTTCAATAGAGAACGTCGATCAATTGACGAAACCTGAAATCGACGGGGTATGATCAAATGGACTCCGATGCGATAAACTGGACGAAACGAGCTTGGTGTGAAGGTATGCTGTCAAGTTTACAAACTAAGTCGCATCTGTTTTTAAATGCAGAAACATGTGTGGCTTTGTTTCTGTTAATGCTTTGCCAGGAAATATATGTTATGGTTAAGATTCCGACAATCGGGCCAGGATCGCCCGTCCGCTTTAAAATTTTCATGTTGTGTTTCTACCTTGCGAACACGTGACAAGAAAATTTGTGCAAGCGCGATCGTCTACAATTTTTGTCTCAGAGAACAACAGAATTGTGTCTTTTGTAATGAATACTTGATAGCTTTGTAACGCCTATGTGTCATTAAGGTTTTTAGTCTCTTTTTAATTGTTACCATACACATTGGAACCCAGGTAGTGAAACTCGAACTCTGAATGAAGAGAAACGTACAACAGTTCGAGTTGGTGGGGAACTCAAGTTATCGGAGTCAACGTCAGTTAAATGTTGATGAAGGGAAAGGAAATTTAGTTCGAAAAATAGAGGCGAATTCAAGTTATCCGAGTTCAAGTTATCAAGGTGTATCATATGCTAGCTTGTTCGACCTACGAATCTGTTCCCGTGAGGCATTGCGGATTGTTTGTAGTCTTGTTCGTAGCCACTTGGAAAAGAAATCCATAACCCTGTCTACATGGGTTCGACATATTTTTGAATGGACGAATCTTTCTATATGTGTTACTTACTCATTTGCACATTCTGTTACATTTTGCAGTACTGTTAGCTGTTCACATCTCTTTCCTCTGACCCCCTATCTGAACACCTGCAACAGGCAGTTCAAAAACTTAGACGGTTCCTCCCATGGATCCCGTGTAAACAAAAGGTGGAGCCATGCAAATTTTTTTTGTCCATTCAAAAGTTTGTCTATATCCGTGGAAATAGGGTCTGTGGCACCCCATTTTTGAGTATGAAATGAACACCATCTTTAAATTTTTTGTGGTCAGTGATCTTTTAGTGGCCCAGTTTGACTATCCAAGGATCTTAAAATCCAGTTATTTTTTTCTGGAGCAGCTCAAGCCATTCACTGAAAGTTATATAATTTTTTTGATCCAGACAATGAAAAATACCAGCTTTTGGAGAGAAAAGAAAATTTATATGCTTTGCACTTTACCTGTCTGTTAGCATGCAGAAAATGCATGTTTGATCAATCGGTCAAACACAAGTGATAAAGTTAAACTAACAGTCAACGAGTACTAAAAAAAAAGATTCAAAAGATTCCTTGTTAAACATAAGACAACTTTGAGCTTGCTTAGTAGACATATTTCATTTTGTAGAAGACTTTATTAATCATACCTGAAGGTTGTAGTAGTGTCTTACATGTAGCTCAGCTGCTCTGTAGAGAAGGGCACTCCCATGTCTCTCAAAAGGTCTGGTAATTTTTAGGACTCAAAGTCAAATAATAATGCAGAAGTTTATTTTTATTTAAAAAATAAAACCACATCACTGTGAAAAAACTGTGTGAACAAATGTTGAAAGACTTGTCTCAAAAATACCGGTATGAAAATTCCTGTGAACAAAATTATAGTGATAAAATATATGATAAAATTTGCAAAAGCTTTGTGAAAAATAATGTGAATAATGAAGGGAAAATTGACAGTAGCTTATCCAAAGGAAATTTTAGGCACAAGTATCACAAGTGTGTACAACAGTTTACCCTTTACCTATCTTTTGGCTGGCTCTGAGGTCCGGTAAAAGTTGAGAATACAGTAAAGATTTATAAACCTTTTGTACCGATTCTATTAGGCAGTTTGGCCTACGAACTGCATAATCATGCATGTCTGGAGTCGGACGACTTGGGAGTTCTCATTCCTGCAAAGAAATATTCCACGTACAAGGTGGTAAAAGTTGAAAAGGAGATGTTGTCTGCAATATTGTTCAAATTGTTTTCAGACATGAACACCTTGATTTTTGAAAATGATGAATGTAGCATGTTGAAAGAATCCCTTGTAGGCCTTGTGAAGGCCCGATCAGCACCTTGTGGACACCTTTTCCCTGTACGAGAAACTTGTAAGCTTTTAAACTTGAAATTAATCGAATGGTTCAGTTGCCCGTGTCCCAGACAAAGACAGTTTCACCATATGAACCGTGCGAGGTGAAACAGTACTATTTATCATACAGACCTTGGACAGAATGCGGTATTTCACAAGTTTTCAAGACAAATTGCACTCAGTCAATATTCAGGACGATCAATCGTGGGCTTTAAGCGAAACTGTTCAAAATTTACTTATACGGCCAGCTGGTTCTCATTTCTATAGTGCGAGCTGTCAGTATGGTAGAGTGTTTGAATGAACTTTAATAGAGTTACGCTTCAACATAATAGCAAATTTATTATTATTTTTTTGTTATTTAATGGTTTCAGTTATAACGATGTGTAATCTTATGAAGCGTTTGATACGCGCGACATTTTTGAGTACTCCTGCAAGCGATGTTCATGAATGATGAAAACAAACGGCACGGACAAGCGATTAAAATTGCAAGAGAGACTACTAACAATCAAAAAAAGAAATATAATTCGGTGAAACATTTGCAGTGACAACAATTTTCATTCACGAAGACAAGTATTAAAGTGTCTC